TGGCCCCTTCCACTTAGGCCTTTGACCTTATTTTACTGGATCATTTTGATATATAAATTGTACTGCTTTGTGGAGTATTTTGTGAACTAGCATCACTTTTGTGCTGAATACGTAAAGTGTTTACTTTGTGTTATTCATTCCCGGTCGGATTTATATTTTCTGCATAACTTATGTTTTATTCAAGTCCGGTGGCTAAAATTTGGCACAATTATAGATAATCTGGTTGTTAACATCTCCAGCAAGTTTCAGGAATATACCGTGTATAGAATTTGAATTACAGTGATTTTTCCGTTTTCCAACGGTCATTTGGATTTAAATTTCCCGGCTAATTATATTCAATTTCGAAGCCAAGTTTCATTTTGGGGAATCCCCGTTTTGCTGTACTGTTTACCGCCTGTTCTGTCCATAGTCTGTAAGGTGTGGCGTTTTGGTATCACTGTGTTCGTATTAGTCCTGTATAATGCCTGGTAATATGGTATTTCAGTAACTTTGTTTGTGTTTGAGTGTTCATTATGTCCAGACAAGATATCCAATCGCCGTTTGTACTGCACGGATTGCAGTTTTATTGCTTCCACACAAGGTCACTTGGGCATTCATAGATCTAAAATGCATCATGCTGAAGGAAAGTTGTTTTATTGTTGTCTATGTAATAGTATTATCGGGTTTTTTCCGAACTTTAAACGTCATTATTTCAATAAACACAAAGGAATTTCGCTTAACATTTCCGCCAAATGTACGCTTAACATTTCCGCCATTTGTGACCGTATTTTCCCGGAAAATCGTGGCGCTGGTGTCCATCTTCAGCGAGCCCACCAGATAGGTAAAGATGATTCCTATCCTCTCTCTCCTACCCCCGTAATGTCTTACATTGATCTTGAAGTATCAGGCAATAACAACACCATTACTCCTTCAAGACGTAGTTGCAGATCGAGAGTTAAGCTATTGGCTGAAGTGTCCTTATCCATGTCCTGTAACGTGTCTAGTCCAATGTCTTGTCCTTCGTCTCCGATAATTAATGATACTAATCAAGATGTTTGTTCCTGTGACCCCCCTTCCACTCAATCTCCCAATGTCATATCCCAATCCACTAATCCCCCTTCCCCCTGTGTCACTACACGCGTTACTTGTGCTTCATCCCGTGTTCACTCCAGCAAATTACCTCCTTCGGTCCTTACTAATCTTGATCCAGATGATGACATCATCATACCCTACCCTCCACGACCTAACCCCAATCACACTCCCAATCATTACCATCAACCATCCCTTGAACCAGTGGTCGCCCCTTCCGGTTGTACTGCTGGAAATAGTGGTACCCCATTGGCCTCCCCCACCCCACACCATCCTACCTCTAATTCCCCGGAGTTATCCCTCCCAACCTCCACCCACCAATCATCTTCTGAACCAACGGTCGCCTTAAGTGGTTGCACTACTGGGGATGGTGATGTTGTACCAAACCAATCTTCCAATTCTCCTACATTCGATCCTGATAACCCTCCTTCTCCATCAACAGCATCCCAAAACCCCTTCATTATCCCCCCTCCACTCCCAGATTCCTTCCTTTCCTCATCAACTACTGACCAATCCCAACCGAATAACCCAATCCACCAATCATCTTCTGAACCAACGGTCGCCTTAAGTGGTTGCACTGCCGGGGACGGTAATTTTGTACCAAACCAATCTTCCAATCCCCCTACATTCGGTCCTGATAACCCTCCTTCATCAACAGCATCCCAAAACCACTTCATTATTCCCCCTCCACTCTCAGATTCCTTCCTTTCCTCATCAACCACTTACCAATCCCAACCGAATAATAACCAAGTACCTAATGCCAACCCTCCCCCTAATAATGTTAATGATCCGTTTCAAGATAGATGGTCGTCAGTCTTCTTGGATACCATTTCCTGGGATGTTTTTTCCAATCAATGTGAAAAATTCTCCGAAGATGTTATCAAGACCAGCCAAGAGAAGCAATCCAAAAAACCATCAGCTGGGCCCCGGCATCCACTTCGTCCTTCAGCATGCCCCGTTAATAACAACAGAGCTTCGCTCCGGTATAACCCTCGGGAAGCTAGAAAGATACAAGCACTTTACCGTTTATCAAAGAAGCGTGCGGCTAGGCAGGTCCTAAATAATAATTCACCATCTTATACAGGATCAACTGACGATGGTAACACCTTCTTCACCAATGTGTTTGGAGAAAAACATTGTAATACTGACAAAGTTAAACGTGGCTTAGATGATTTTGTACCTTCTTCTCCCATTGACGAGAACCTGTATGCCCCTGTCACCCCTGAGGAAGCTGCTAAGAAACTCAGATCCCTTTCTAACTCTGCCCTGGGGTCTGACAAAGTAGAATATCGGCCACCTTCGCTCGGTTGACCCAAAATGTACCACTTTATCAAAGTTATTCAATCGGTGTCTAGTTGAGAGAGATGTTCCTAACATGTGGAAAACATCATCAACCATCTTAATCCACAAGAAGGGCGATGCAAGTGACGTTTTCAACTTCAGACCAATTGCGTTAATGAGCTGCATTTATAAGTTGTTCATGAGCATAATTGCTAATCGTCTGGTCACTTTTTCCGTCAATAATCATCTTCTGCCTGATGTGCAAAAGAGTGCTCGCCCTTCCGAAGGTTGTTACGAACATACCTACATTCTCCAGTCCCTTGTTCTCGATGCAAAACGACTGATTTCAAGGTCCAAGGAAGAGTCATACCTTCGCTAAGTGAACTTGTATTATATTTGCATCCCACAAAGTGGGTGGTGTAGCCTTCCAAGACCCTTTGGTGGAGGTGGATATCCAAACTGTAATACAAGTAATCAAGATGGTGTCCTCTTCCGATCCTTTCGTGTCTTCTATAGCCAGAGCAGTGCTATGGTTATCCGTACGATTTGCTGCTCGTGATAATCCTTCCCCTTCTTTAACACGTGATTTCCTGTCGGGTTCAATGAGAGGTAACTTCCATCCAAGTCGCATAAGATACCGAACACATTCACTGTGGACTCGTACTAGATCAGCTTGCCGACGTTTAAACATCTCATTTGCGGTCCCAGATAATGATGAGCCAGTAATATCAACCGAAACCAGTGGCCCCCGCCGTGCTAAAGCTGCGTGTTCTTTCCTACACCATCTTGCTCAAGAACGTGCTTCCCAGAAATTACTTGATCTTCCAGACCTGGGAAAAACAGCTCGAGCTATGACGAAAGACGCCTTCGCAAATGGATCATCATGGATGTTCACTGGGTTCAACATGCGATTTAAAGACTGGCAATTCATCCACCATGCTAGAATGAATGTCGCCCCAACCAATAAGAACATATCCAAATGGGATGACCTCCATTCCCCGAAATGTCGAGTATGCCAATCCACTGATGAAACTCTCCCTCACATCCTATGTCACTGCAATAACAACATGCTGCTGATTCGTGAGCAACATAATAAGATCGTCGAGAGACTGCGGAAAGCCAGCCGGTACGGAGAAGTGAGAGTTGACCAACAAGTTCCCGGTTTCAGTGATGACTGTTGACCTGATTTGGCAATTTCCAGAGGAGATGATGTTACTGTGATCGATGTCACATGCCAGTTCGAGAATGGTGATTCTGCCCTCGCGACTGCTGATTATGCCAAGGTGATGAAATATCAATCCGTCAAAACCTATTTTCAATCACTTGGTAAAAGATGCAATGTATATGGTTTTGTGATTGGTTCTCTCGGTACATGGCACCCAAATAACGAAGCAGTATCGAGAAGCCTCGGAATGACAAGGAGATACACAAATCATTGTTCCGTAAGTTATGCTGCAGCGATGTAATCAAAGGCTCAGCAGAGATATACTACCAACATATGAACAATGATGCACAAGAATATCGAACACTTTTGATATTAAGTAATTAACATTTAGTATTCTTTAGAGGTGTAAATTTGCCTAAATAATACTGTGTCACGCAAAAGAATGTGCCAGTATAGTAAATGTATCTAGATAACCTGATTAACATTCCCAAGAACATCAACGTCAATGAATAATTTACCCAATTATTTTTTTAAACATTTCTTTGAACTACTATTTCATTAGTATATTTATTATCAAGTATATACAGTAAGTCCAAAAAACGCTTTGTAAATAATCCTTATATGAAATAAATTTATATGATCTGTTCTTATCAGCTTAATATCTGATATGTTAGGCAATGCCTAACTCATATATTAAACTGATTTTTGGACTTCGGCCATGGGATTGAAGCTTGCTTCGCCCTGGCCACGGGTTGTCTCGGTATTGCACTACATCCGAGTACGGCCCCTTCCCCACTCGGGAAGAACATTGTTTTTATTTCAAATCAAACTATAAAGCAATCTCTACTTTATTAGACGATTACACACACTTGAGTACTTTTCACATGCCGATCGATTTATATTCGAATACCACGTGAAATAATATATCATGGCTTTCTAATGCATATATAACATACATATCATATGACTTGTAACACTTTATTATTTATCCTATGCCGATATTTCACACCGGCCTTGTGAGCGTGTTTTCGTTCAGCTATGAACCGAATCAACTACATCTAATTTTAACTAACATACTTTTTCATTCTCTAGATCGCGGCACATGACGTTCAAGACAAGAGGGAAACCCCTGAAGTACCACAATCGCGTGTCATCATCATCGCGTATATAAGGTGAGCGGCGCAAACAACAGCATACTTACCTGACGCGAGAGGCACCTTGATCAACTAGGAGGTCCTCTCAGGATGAGGCCCTTTCATTGCACTTCGACTGGGTTGACTCCTGCGATTACCCCTAATGTGGGTAACTCGAGCGTATAATTTCTGGTAGTGGGGATCTGCGTTCGCGCTCGTCCCCTTCAACATATAATATTCATGTATAAAGCCCGTGTTCGTTTCTTAACACCGCCGTGTGTGTCGATTGTTTTTGTATAGAATCCCATGTCAAACATATCGTTTATCACAGAAGACACTCTTTATATATTCTCCGTGCCGAAATCTCTCCATCTCCAGTTCATATTACATGGTAAGTAAAGAGCTATACACGTGCTTATATTTTGTAAGCACTTCGGGTGTTTGCACACACTATTCAATTAATTCGCTGCTGTATATTAAAGTCACTTGCTTGCCAACGGAATTTCAAGCCATCGCACGTACATTCCAAGTGCCCATTAACTGGCTGGCTCGCGTGTCCACTCTCAAACGCACGTGTTTTGCCGGTCGAACTTATAGAATACCGAGTGAATATTCCAAAATCGCATTATTCCACGCCGCGTGACCCGGAACCTTTCCGGGTCACAACACAGTTTGCGAGTGAAAGAAGCTCGACGCATTCGTGAATCTTTGAAGAGCGCGAAAGCCGATACGCTCGCAACTCTCGTCTCACGCTTGATGCCACACGGCCGCCGTGCCCCTCTACGCGACCGCACGCGCGTGCGCGAGAGAACCGCCAGAGTCGCGGTGGGCGATCATCACGGACTTGCCGTGCTCGTGCGACGAGTAACCAGGCGCCTGTCGACGTCATAACCGCTCGCAAGCGAGCTCCTTCTCACCGCGTTTTCGTAGCACAAATGTTCGGTAGAAATATGTGTGGCAAACGGCGAAGAAGGCATCGCTTCTCGGCCTTTTGGCTAAGATCAAGTGTAGTATCTGTTCTTATCAGCTTAATATCTGATATGTTAGGCAATGCCTAACCCATATATTAAACTGATTTTTGGACTTCGGCCATGGGATTGAAGCTTGCTTCGCCCTGGCCACGGGTTGTCTCGGTATTGCACTACATCCGAGTACGGCCCCTTCCCCACTCGGGGAAGAACATTGTTTTT